CCCCAAAACCCCAAAACCCCAAAACCCCAAAACCCCAAAACCCCATAGCGCCTTCGAGGATTGAGCTAGATTTTATTCAGGTTGTAGTCGATCTTATTAACCTTAAGCATGCTCTTTCGGGGGTTAAACTCGCTAATGAACCTGAAATCTTTAAGGCCCTGCTTAATGGGCTTTATCTTCTCATGCGTGTTGCTCTTCCTCCATTTGGAGCTGGCTGACTGGGTCTGCTCAGCCCTGGATCTCTCATGATGATCAAAGTCAGGGGATTTAGGATTTCCAAGGTTTGACTTGCTCCTTTTGGTCTCTTTAGGGGAGATGGAGCTTTCGAGAAGCGGCTGTGGGCCGTCTGAGTCCTCAGGCTCGGGATAGCCCAGGAAGTCGGAGAGAGTTGGGTTTTTGTGGTTTTTTGAGGTGTTATTTGTGGTTTTGGGAGGTTCTAGAGTTGCATAACCTGTATTTTGGTTAGAGTTATGATTTTCTGGGGTTTTGTTAACTCTTTTCTGCCGTAGTCTTTCGAGGTTTCCGTTGTATTCTTCTATCAAGGAGCTCAGCCTCTGGTCAACACAGTCTGATTTAAATCAACTGATGTTTCTCTAGGACTTTCTTGGTCAAAGGCTGCCTTCTGATTGGTTCGTTTTGGATAAAATCGATGTTATTTTAGCCTCAGATGGGTCTTTCTTCTGCGGCCTATGAGAGAGATTAGGAGTTATTTGGGATTTGGGAGGAATTAAGTTTAGAGTGCGGTTAGAGGGATTTTGAGGTGTTTTAAGCGATTTTATTTGGGATTTTGACCCAGGGGAGTGTGATTTTTGTGATAAATTTTGGGGTTTGAGGGATGTGGAAATAGGAAAAAATTAGTATGAGAAAATATTTAAGAGAATTTGGGGTTATTTTAGTTAATTGATGCTTAATGAGGTTCTTACTTATAGCCATATTTGTTGGCTTCTTGCTCCTTCGAGAGCTATTTCTCGGCTTAAGGCCATAATAAGATAGATTAACATTATTTGATTTTCATTTCTGATTTATCACTCATTTCAAGTGAGTTAGGATCAAGAAATTTATTTATTTTATTTGGCTTTATTGAGGGAACACTGATCCTTTCTTTCTCAGCAGAGATCGTCTCTAAAGTCGCTCTATGAGCCGAGCTGATCGCAAAGAAGCTTGACTTAGTATTAGAAGAATGAGCCTCACCAGAATTAGGCTTCCCAAAGTCATGATGTGAGTTGATATAGTTAATCATCGGCTCTATTCACTTCGAAAAGTGAGGTTTGAGATATTTTTGGCTTTCAAGCTGCTTCATGACCGTAAATGCCTTTAGAATTTTACTTACTAAAGAGTTCTCCGAAGGCATATCCACCTTCGAGGCATGCAGAAGTAGTCATTATGTTCTTTACCAATGACCCGAAGCAATATTCTACTAATGTATTGTAGTTCTTCTCTAATAGCCTGGTCCCAAAGCCGCTGTAGACTGACATTTTAGATTATTGAATTACTATTTTGGAACAGATTTAAGGGGTTTTGGGGTTTTGGGGTTTTGGGGTTTTGGGGTTTTGGGGTTTTGGGG